GCGCGCAGCGCAGCGGAGCCCGCCGCCCGGGACATGGCCAAGGCGGGCGGCGCAGGTGAGGGCGGGCGCCGGGAGGGCAGGGCCGGTGGCCGGGGGAGGGACCCGCGCCTCCTGGGGAGGGGCCGAGCGCCCAGGTGAGCCCCCTGCGCAGGTGGGCGGAGGTTCCGGCCGGACTGGAGGGGGCGGCGGTGGCGAGGGGACTCGGCGCGACCCGCGTCCTTCCTGCGCCCCCGTTAGCTCGTGGGATGCCGCGTCCCTTCCTCGAGCCCCGCTGGAAGGGGCCAGGTCTGCGGCACCCCTGTGCAGACTCGCTGTTGGGGGCTCTCTCCAGCCCACCGAGGCCCGGGCAGACCCAGGCGCCCCTACCGGAGGGGATGTCCCGCGGCCGCCCATCCACCCCACGCCCCGCAACGTAAGCCGGGACGCGCCCCCTTGCCCTGCCACTCTCTATCCAGGACGCGACAACCCCTTTACCCCGCCCCCAGCTCAGCCAGGAGACCCAGATTCTTTCTGGAACAAGAGGGGTGCTCTACGTTCTTCTGGTCCCCACCCCCACCGGGCCTGTAATGCAGAGCCTCAGGTGCGAGAGGCGGAGGGGGTCTGAAGGCGCCTCTTTTGGGGTCCCACAGGTTTTGTGATCTGAAGGCTCAGGCTGTGTAGCCCGTGATTTGAGGGAGTGGATATTAGTCATTCGTTCATTCATCCAGCCAGACGTTCATTCACCAACATCTGTTCTGTGCCAGGCCCTGAACTGGGTGCTAGGATCAGGAGGGGACCAGACTCTGTCCCTTTTTGCACACTCTGTGTCCATGGTGCCTTGGGAGCCTGGGGTTAGGGAAATCCTGTGCCCAAAGGGCCGGCCCTATGGTTGGCGGCATCAAGTCTGGTGTCAGCAGTGCTGGCTTGTGAGGTTGGCTGTGAGAAGCTACCGTGAACCCACACCCAACCTGTGATATTGGCCAGTGTCATGCCATCCCCTGGGACCAAGCATCGGCCTGGTGTGAACCCCACTTCTCAACCCATAAACGATGATAGTAATGGAATGAGTGTGAATCCACTAGTGTGCATACTAGGTGTGAGTAACCCTGAGCTGACTGTAAATTCTTCCAGCCCCCAATGTTGTCCAGGATCTGGACCAGGTACCACTGTGTCTGGATTTGTACTGGGCTTGTGAGTTAGGTCCCTGAGAACACACTCCACTTTGTCCCCAGGAACCCTGTTGGGTGGGCGCTGGGAGGGCACGGCTGGCTGTGTGAAACACAGACAGCGCAGGACACATACAAACACCCCACTTCTCACTCCCCTCCCTCTCCTTTCCTGGGGAAGGCTGGAAAAGGCTCTCTACTTCCCTCTCTTTTCCTCACCCCGTTCCTCAAAAGGGCACAGGGCAGAGCATATGTCCTGCCCACTGGCCCACGCTGTGTGCTCATGTGTGTACACCTGTCTGGACGCCACAAGCACAGCTCGCTTGCCCAACACCCTCCTAAAAAAGCTGTTGGTGGTGGTTGTTTGAATGAGGCACCAGGCACTGCTGTGCTGAACCCTTTACTGCCTGATGACCCTGGGAGGTTGGAAATGTCACTCTCCTGCTTGTTTTAAAACATCTGGAAATAGACACCCAGGGAAACAATTTCCTCAGCCCAGAGGAGCTGGGCGAAGCTTGGACTTAAAGCCAAGTCCGCTGAATTCTAAGGATTTTCTCCATCAACGCCCGGATGGGTCAGCCACCTTATCGAATGGGAGTGCCAGTCTCAGGCCCTCTTCCTTAGCCTGGGAGTCCTTTGCTTGGTCCCTGGGCTGAGGCTGTGGGAACTTATACCAGTGACAGGTGAAAAAAACTGTCCTGCTCAGGGCACCAGCACCTCATGCTGTTCTAACACTATTTCCTGCTGCAATTTCACGCTTGGCCCTTTCCCTGGGCCCTTTCCCTCAGGGCAGCACAGCTTTCTGTTCTCTGTGATCCACCTGCCCAGCTCCTTTCTCCTTTACTCAGCTGCTGCCCCAGGGAGACTTTCACGCTGATCGGCAACATTGGATTGCTCTTCCCTTTCTCAGCTCTTTCAGGCTGCTTTGCATTTTGTAAATGTTCCTTTACTTTGCTAGACTCCTAGACCGAGTGAATTGCAAATGCACGCGCGGTGGTGTGTGGACGGAATCACAGCTCCCCCAGGACTTCCTCCGTGAAGAACAGATGGATGTGCTTTAGAACAGAGGCAGTCCTAGCAGTCAGGAGCCCAAGTCTCTCTCTTTGTATCTAGGGAAACTGAGGCCCAAGGTAGGGATGTGCCACAGAGAGCGGTGACCATTCAGTATGAACTGCATCCATGGCAGGTAGGCAGAATGGCCTGGCCTTCACTCTGAGGGGGACACCAGAGTAAAGGGAGGCTGTGGGGACCTGGGCCATGGCTGAAGCACCTGCTTCTGTTCCTGTAAGTGGTTTCCTCTAAAAATTGCCTCGTAGATAACTGACTAGTTATCTAGAGATGAGGGTTTGGGCTCCAGGTGTCTGACTGTAGGCCATCACATTGTTGTGCAATATGTAGCCTGAGCAGCTGGCCATGGCTATGCCAGCTGTGTCAGGATCAGAATAGAAGCCATTCAAGGACTTTTAGGTAGCCAGGAAAATTTAGGTACAAGAGAAAGCTGTAATCAGGTCCCAGAAAGGATAGGGTGATCTGGAGAAGGTAGATCCAAATGCCAGTTTCCAAATGGAGGGGATTTTAGCCACAAAGATAAGAGTGCTCCTGGTAGCCAGGTGTGGTGGTACCTTCCCGTAATCTCAGCACAAGAGAGGCTGCGGTAGGATGAGTGCCATGAGTTTGAGGCCAGCCTGGACACGCAATGAGTCCAAGGCCAACCTGAATTACATAGCAAGACCCTGTCTCAAAAAATAAAAACAAAACAAACAAGCCACTCTCCCTGCACCAATCCTATGCCTCTTCCCACACCCATCTAGTCTTGAGGGGAAGGAAAGAAGCCTTTGGACAAAGGAGGAGGGAAGCCTACCTTGGCAGTAAAGGCCAGCACCAGGAAGGCGGAGGCCAAGGGTAGGGGAGGACTCAGGACTCTGTAAAGGAAATACTGGTAATTCACAGTACAGAGCTATTTGTGGGGCAGAGGAGGCCAGTGATTAATTTGAGACAGTGAAGGCTTTCTTCCTAGGAGAGGGGTCTTTAAGGGCTGGCAGAATTTGCATGGAAAGGTGATTAAGAGCAGGCTTCAGGTGCAGGTAGGTCATCATGGCCTGAAAAAGGCAGGGAGTTTGGAAGTAGACTTGTACGTGTGGCAGGGCAGTTGGTGGGGGGGGAGCAGCAGGAAGTAAAGAAACCCAGCTGGTGGGGCAGCAGGTTCCTACAGAGTACAGGAGGCAAAATGGAGAGCCAAAGAGCACTGAGGACAGCAGTGATAGCATGAAACTAGGTGTTTTGACACATCCCTCTGGCTGCTTTGTGAGGCTCCTGGGGGCTGGAGAGGGGCCAGCCTGGCCCAGCTGCCTGTGTTGGGAGGGTTTGTTCTGGTTCTTGCCAGTGCCCCTCCCTTTCTTTCCTCTGCTCAGGCCTGGGGCACTCCCTCTGTGCCCCAGAAGGCTGCAGTGTGTCTGTGGACCTGGGACCATGCACATGGGGGGCTCTCAACATCCTCAGGCTGGGCAGGAACTGGGTGATCAGCCACAAGGGTCTGGGAATCAGGAGGGAGGGGGAAGGAATGTTTGAAGAGACCAAGCTGCAGCCACAGGGCCGAGCCTTCCAGGCTGGAGGAACCAGTTTACTCCTAGGTGCTGGCCTCTGATCCAAGGGGTGGGGCTGGCTGGTGCAGTGCATCAGACCCAATCGTTTAAGTCAGTAAACCTGATCCTCCCAAGTCAGAGTGGGAGGGACGCTCCCTTATATTTGTGTTCTAAGCCCTTGTTAATGGAAGGGGGCACTAAGGTCTAAGGAAGATTGGGGTTGCTCAAGGCCACAGAAAATGAAGGCAGGAACCTGAGCCTGGACCCTGGATTTCCTGCATCATTGTGCGTTTGATGAGTCGGCTTCCTTTATTGGCCTTCCTGGAAGGAGTGCGTGCCTTTACGTCACCCTAAAGTCAGAACTCCTTCAGAGTGACTTGCTTTATGGCATCCAGGGGCAGGGACCAAGGGCTCACCAGTGGTGGAAATACCTGGAAGCTTGAGAAAGGGAATAAGACTGGGGTTCTCTGGACTCTGAAAATTTCCACTCTTAGGACACCAGGACAGCTTTCCTGTTTATGTGAGAAACAGTATCACCTTCTACAGGGAGATTGTCCTTCCCTCCTCAGGCCCTAGGTGGGTGGCCAGTGTCCAGACTCCTGGCTTTTCTTAAAACTCCTAAAGATTCCTTGTGGCAGCCATCCTAGACATCCTTGCCATTGAGGATGTGCTAGAGCTTGGGTAGTTCTCATATTCTGAAGCCAAACCTCTGGTCCCTGTGGAATTACCTGTTACAGCAGTAGGTCTCAGCAGGCCCCCTGCTTAAGACCCTTTGCAGCCCTTCGTCCTGATTGTTGGCATCATCACATAAGCAAAGATGGTGCCACCCAGACAGAAGACCCACTTCCTGTGCTTGACCTTGGCCTGGTCCATCTTACCCCCACTAGCCTCCCTGAGACTTGAAAATTTCTTTGTCTGAGAACCCAGCAGTGGGATGCAGAAGAAAAGGCTGTGGCTCAGTGCTTCCCCTCTGCCCTTGCTGGGGCCACATCTGGGTGAGATGGGCCAGAACTGTGGGATTTCCTCACGTACACTGCATGTTGTGATGGTGCATAGCTGGAGGAAGCTTAACGATCTTTCAGTTTGCCTGTCAAATATGCATACTGGGAGACTAGGTCAGAAAGGCAAGAAGGGGCTGGTCAGATAGCTCAGTGGATTAAAGTGCCTGCTTAGGCAGACGCAGAGACTAGGGATGGATACCTGGTGTGCCATGCTGACTCCACCCCTGGGGTGCACTGACATGGCGATTGAGACTGGGTGTGGTGGTGTGCGCCTGTAATCCCAGCTCTTGGGAGGCTGAAAACAGGAGAATCACTACGAGTCTGATC